AGGTTTGTTTTCTGTTTGTTGTTTTTTGTAGAAGAGAAATTATAAAGAGGTTCATACTTAATAAAGCTATTTATTTTAAAATCTCAGGACAGGAAGAGAAGGGTCCCAAACTAAGAATTTTATTTTTAACAACTGCTTATTAATGTTGGGATCACTACATATTTGTATTCACTTCATCGGTTTTTTTATAAAAACGATGCCGCCAGAATTTTGTCACCCTAGGTCTGGGCCTAGTCAGCCTATGTGGAAATACGTCACAGATGACGACTTTACATTGTATATGTCTCCTATGCACCGATAATGACCCTCAGGGGTAGAACTTGATTAGTGGTTATAGGTTCACCACCTTCCAACAGTTCTCATTCCCATGTCTGTGGCCAAAATAAGAATGAAGTCATAGACCTTTGTAGCAACAGAAAATGTCAGATTCTCTGAGACACAACTACTATTTCCCTGAAAGCTGCCTCCTTTTGGTGACCAATTTTCTTTCCTGAGTTTAAGTCCTTCAGCTCATATAAAATGCCATTTCCTCAACTATAACGTCTTTTACAATTTAGTAAGACAAAAGCTTAGAAGAGTAAAGGAAAATACATTTGTCAAGCGAAAGCAGAAAGCTCTGTAAGAACAACTCATGTGGTCATGGAACCAAAATGTTTTCCTTCCCACCTACTCTGTGGATTTTTCAGATACACTGATTTTCCGTAAGGATATTTCATTAAGATCTGCATAATAACAGGAGGTTTGACAGAAACTGTTTTGCAGAAGTAAATTTGAGTTCTTTCACTCTGACTGATTTATGAGAAAGAAAACTGAGCTGAATGCTAGATGACTATCCGAGGAGTTACGTTACCAAGCACTGACCCCTCATGTGGAGACGAGCTATCTCACAAGGAGTTAGAAGAGAATTCTTTTACGGATGTTACCAATGAAAAAGAAAGAGATTAGACATGATGTAAAAACATAGTAAAAACAATCTTATATTTCACAAACAATCAACGTGAGCTTATTGACTGAAGACATCACCTTTCCTAGAATAAAAAACTGTATGATGTGAAGATGTGTCTGTTTATTTCCAAAGCAAAATCAGTTCAAGAGTGAGAAAATATATCAATATATACAAAAAACAATAATAGTATTATTCTCAGTGCATATGTATTATCTATGTCACTGTTTGCTATTCCCACTGAAAAATAACGGAGGTTGTATTCTGAAGGTATCAAAAAAAAATGTTATATAGTTTACAAACATCATGTTTGTAACTCAGACCAATAGTTAGTTCTAAAATTAAATAAAGGGGTAAAAACGCCTAAAATGCCTGCATACCACATAATAATAATTATACAGTTAATTCCTAATTCATTTCTGAAGGAAGACAGTTTAACTTATGAAAAAGCTTGGTTTTATTAATTCAAATTTATGCAAACATTTCCCTAAACGAATAATATAGAAAACACCAATACACAACTCAACAAATGAACAAAATCTTTATTTGCACAATCAGTGAAAGCTCTTCATTTGGCAGGTAAGCTTCTTATTTACAGTAAAACTGCAATTGGCTGCTGGAGTGGAGAGTTTTAACACCATGCGAAGTCGGAAAATAGAATCAAAGCAAAAGCTTGTGTAAAAGAGCGAATCATGGAAATTCCCAACTTTTATGTCTGCGGGTCTGAGTGCAGTACTCCACAATTCTTAGATTACCTCTGTCAATGACCATTTCAAATAATGTATTCAAAGGAAATAATTTTCAACTCAGGTAATTGGGTTTACCTACTCCAGGAAGTAAACACACACACACAGGGTCAGGCTTTCATTGAGTTGCCGTTGAAGTATGTAAGCTTTACCGTAGCAAAAGGATTAATGTATGTTTACGATATTCATAAATCCGATTTATCAGAAAACGCTAATTACACGCAGAACGAATGCGTGAAAAAAAAACAACAACAACCTTTTAAACGTGTTGGATACCACAGAAGTTTTGAACTGCTACAATACAAACATCTTATAAAAATATATTAGAAGAATCAAAAATCGTTAAAATTTTCAGTCAATGATAAATACAAAAATATAAATATATTATATAACTTAAACGTCTAGTGATTTATTATCTATCTTGTTTAAAACTGATTTTTTAAATTGAAATTAAACGTAGCTTTTTTATGACCAGTATAAACGTTATCGTTACCAAACACCAAACTTATTTTGGTGAATAACAACATACATTGTGTAAATATTTGAACATTGTTGTATCATATTGTAATTAATTTTTAAGGTATGGTGTCTTTCACTGCGTCAGCGGTAAGTTTACAGATTTACAACGCAAAAATCCAGGGCTCTATTCCCGCGGTGGACACAGTAGATAGCCCAATACGGCTTTGATCAAATGTGGAAACCTTTTAAGAATAAGTTTTTAAATATTCAAAATAAAAATATTCCTCATACAAAGAAAATGGTGGCTGCAAATAAAAAACAAGGTTGGCTAACTAAAGGTATATATTGGCCTGGCATGGCCAGGTGGTCAGAGCGCTTGACTCGCAATCTGGGGTCGAGGGTTCGAATACCCGTCCCACCAAACATGTTAACTCTTTCAGCTGTGGGAGGGTTATAAAGTGACAGTCAATCCCACTATTCGTTGGTAAAAGAGTAGCCAAAGAGTTGACAGTAGATGGTGATGACAAGTTACCTTCTCTCTCTCTAGTCTTTCACTGCTAAATTAGGGACGGCTAACGCAGATAGCTCTTGTGTAGCTTTGCGCGAAATTCAAAAACAAACAAACAAAAAGTATAAGAGATAAATTTATGAAATTTAAATGAACTGGTATGACAGGAAACTTAGATGATTATAGAAGATCAAGAAAGTTGGTCAAACATCAAATTAGGACATCAAAAAGGATGTATGAAGAAAGGTTTACTGAATATGTAACAATTAACACTAAGGATTTATTTAAGTATACGTGTTTAAGTGTAAACAAAATGTTAGAATGGGGTATGACCCTTGAGGGATAAAGTATTGTAACTGATGATTATGAGACAGCTGGGTTATTATTTTTTTCAGTTTTTACTGATGAAGATTTGAGCAGTATTCCTCATCTTGAACAGTTGATAGATGGAAATAAGGTCGGACAACAGGATTGCATTAATTCTGAACTTGTTAAGAAGAAATTGGGAAGTTTAAAGAATGATAAGGCTTCTGGGCCAGATAATATTTCCCTAAGAATTTTGAAAGAGGTTAAAGATTAGATATGTGAGCCACTTGCTACTATTTTTTAAGTCCTGGAATAGTAGGTAGATGCCGAAGGATTGGAAATTAGTTAATGTCACTCCTCTTTTCAAGGGTGGTAATAAAAATTGTTCTCGTAATTATAGGCCTATTATTCTTACATCAGTTCTGAGAAAAGTTTTGGAAAGCCCGATAAAAGATGCTTTGTAAAGTCATTTAACAAATTTTAGAATTTTATTGGATAGGAAAATCTTGCCTTGCAAGCTTTTAACATTCTTTAAAAAGGTTACTGCTTATGTAGATGAGGGTAATGGTGTAGGTTTGGTGTATCTGGATTTTCAGAAAGCCTTTGACAGGGTATCACATAAAAGACTTGTAAAAATTATCTCTATAGGCGTGGGGGATAAATTAGCTAATTGGATACAAGAGTGGCTGGTTGGAAGAAAGCAGAAGGTTGTTATAAATGGAGTCCAGTCAAACTGGATTAATGTCACAAGTGAGGTACCTCAGGGCTCAGTCTTAGGGTCTTTGCTCTTTTTGATTTACACCAATGACATAGATGAAGGGATGGTCAATAAATTACTTAAATTTGCTGATGATATTAAGGTCTTGGGTGTTGCTAGCTGTGAAGAAGATGCTGCTGCTTTACAAAATGATTTACATCATTTAGTGAGTTGGGCAAATAAATGGCAGGTGGGTTTTACTTATAATAAATGCAAGATAATGCATTTGGGTTATCATAATTTGAATTATAAGTATAATTTGGATGGTAATAACCACAACAGTGTCATAAAAGAAAGTGATCTTGGTGTAATGGCTGATCAGTCTCTTAAACCATCCAAACAATGTATTGTTGCTAATGGAAAGGCAAATAGAATTTTAGGTTGTATCTACAGAAATATTGAATACAAGTCTAAATAGGTTATAATTTCATTGTATGATCACTAATTAGGCCACATTTGGAGTATTGTGTTCAGTCTTGGGCTCCTTAGTTTAGGGAGGACATTGAACTGTTGGCAAGAGTTCAGAGGAGGGTTACTAGAATGTTGTCTGGGATGGAGGGTTTGTCATATGAAGACAGATTAAGAGCTTTGAAACTATTTGATCTTGAAAAAAGAAGAGTTAGAGAAGATCTGATTTAAGTATTAAGATTGCAAAGGGATTTTGATAGTATTAACGTATCATCTTTTTTTCATACTTAACGGCGAGAATAGTAGAACTAAAGGACAGAAATATAAATTTTGGCAAGGTAGGAGTCATCTTCACCCAATACAGTTATATTTTTCTAAGAGGGTGGTTAACCTCTGGAATGGGTTGCCTTTGGATGTTATGGAGGCAGTAAATTTAAGTGAGTTTAAGAGAAAGCTTAATAACTATATGAATAATAAAGGCTGGCTTTAAGATTTTTTTTTTTATAATTTATAATAGTTTAGTTTAGAGGATGTGACAACCAAGATGGACCAATGGAACTCTTGTTTTCTCTTAAACACTATGTTATATAATGTTATGTTAAAACAAACAAAATCAAGTATGGATTTCATTATACGTATTTTACATATTTAAAAATAATGATATTGAAAGTTATTTTGTTGCAACTTATTATCTGTTATCATAAAATATTGGAGTAGAACATTCACATTGAAATATATCCATATTTATATAATGTCTATATTGTTTTCGTAGCTTATCACTATATTTTAGTTTTATCAATGTTTTAAACTATATATATAATTTCTCTAAGCTATACCTTCGAGACATCTAGCGCTGCATTTTGTTATTAAGTAAAAAGCTTCCGAAATGTTAACAGAATAAACAAGCCTATCGTAGGCTTAACGTAATTTTCATATTTTAACTGCACGGTACTCAGTAGCAATCGTTATCGTGGAGCATTCGTTATATGTGTGTGATTGAATTTTAAATTTAATACATGGATACTTTTACTTTCGCTATGAGAAAGTTTCGATTGCTTTGCCAGATAACTCCCATCGAAAAATATAGCATTTGACAACAGCATGAACAAGGAGTTGTTAATATTATGAATAATGAATGCCAGAACAAATTTCACTGACAGTAATACAGACAGTAGGCCTAATTCTTCTTGTGCTGCTAAATTACAGGTAAGCCTAAGCAAAGTTACACAAATGAGTCTTGCTAGCTTTAAATCTTTATGTTGTGAAACAGGTGTACTAATATTAATAAGCAAATGTTTAATTTTAAACTAATTCTTGTATTAGTTAGAAAATATTAATAATTTACTTCTATTCTAAGTTAGATATGCTAATCATGAATTGCAAGACTTATATTCTCAAATTTAAAATTAATAGTTAAAATAAAATTTCAATTCTTTCCAAACTTTTGGATCTTTCAGAATTGTTTTTTTAAATAAAAGTAAATCTAAAAACGAGTTAAGAATTAAAGTTATTTGTACATTAGTAACTTAAGTAAATAATGTAGTCTAATCTTCATTATTGTGAATCATGGATTGTAATTATATTCAGTGAAAATCTATTTTAACAATATAATTTAGTGTGTACGTTGTAAACACTGTAAGGATTGAACCTGTGGCAAAGTAACTAAAGGAAATCTGTTCTGTTTTTTAAAAATACCTAAAAATAGTAGAATATTTCACCATAATTTATCATCACTAGGTTCTTTAGGTCTATACCTATAGGAAAGTTTCAAATTTTTTAGCTTGTGTGACTCAAATATTTTAGTCTCTTATGTTATGAAAGAAAATTTTCAGTGTCATTACGTGTATTAAACATTACCAAGAAGCATTTTGTAATGCATTTTTTCTGACAAATTACATTATATGGCATAATTTCACTGGTAGGGACCTATTGCTATCTGTGATGGATAAATTTCACCTGCCTGTGAATATTACTAAGGCTAAAAAGCAGGATATTGATATGATTTTATGAAACATACCTAGAAGTAGAAGTTGACAAAAACAAACAGATCATACTAATTATAGTCCACGTCTATTGATGTTATTTTTATGAAGCACCAGAAAACTTATCCTGCTCAATAACAACATGTATTTGTTATATATTTGAATATTGTATATTATTCAAGTATGGTGTGTACAAGGATTTTAACTCATCTTATTATAACAACCTTTCTATCCCAAGTATCATCCTTGAAGCTGTTCAAGAAGGTTCTTTAACAGTTTAATTTCCTTCTTAAAGTAAGGAGCTGAAGACTGAACACAGTTCTCCAAATGATTTTGGATATGTTTAAGTCTTAATAAGATTTTTAATAATTAATCTGAGTTATTTATGGTCACCACAGCTAGTCTTGGGCAGTATTTAGTAATTTAATATGACTGTATGACAAAGATTTGTTCCTTGTTTTGTTTACGTTCAACACTCCCTGTACAAAATAGTTTTCAAAGTTGACAGTTCAATAACATTAAAGGCAACAATGAGTAACGGTTAGTGTCAAATCATGGTCATTACATTTCACAGCTATGTGCAGAGTAATTGTAGTTCTGCTTCAAACAGAAGCAGTAGTGTTATTATAGGAAACTAATTTCAAAGAGTCTGTTTGATGATACTTAAGAATTTCTTGAGTTTGTAGGAAAGATTATTTTAGTGTAGAGGTGAATGTTGTTAATAGTTGATCAAGGAATCTGGTCTTTTAAGTTTCTCAAAGCCACGCTTGTAGATTAACAACTCTTCCAGTGTCAGGTTCATTTTTAAACACACAATAAAAAACAAAAGGACACATTTAATATTTTTTTATTTATATGAAACTTAAAACTGTAAACTTTGGTAAATTTGAAGGGAATACCCGTTTGCCTTGGTAGTCTACAATTCCAAGCTTGCATGAATACTCATGTTCCTTCCAGATTGTCCTTGTACAACTACCATTGAGAAAAGAAAACAAATTTATAACTGACCCTTTATTTTTGAGGAAATCACTAATTCCCCTTTTTAATTCTTATGAAGTTCTGGTCTTCACTGCCGTCAAGGGCAACTTATTTCATAAGTCAGCCACTCTGTTAGAAAAATAAATTTCAGAGGTGTTTATGTGTAGTGGAACTGTATTATAGGAAAATGGAACAGGATTGAAGTTGTGAACAGTAATGTTACTTGTATTTTTAGTGATGACTGTGGTGAAGATACTTCCATATTGACTGATTTACTTAAAGATGGGGAAGATTTATTTCTCATGAATTCTATTTCTTTTAAGAAGAAACTGTTTCAGAAAAGCTTGTGAAATTTCTTCAGAGTAAAGCTCCTAGCCTTGATGGCTTTTATCCTGAAACTTTGAAGGGTTAGAAAAACATTAGTTGGGTCTTTAATCAATATTTATTTCTGTCCTGATCAAAGCAAACTAGCCACAGATATTGGAATTAAAAATATAACCAGTAATGTACATAGATATTTAAATATTCTTTTCAAACTATTTTGCTTAAATGATTAGAATGTATTGTTTTATGTGATGGTTACCTAAGCTAGTAATGACATTTTCTGCTGTAAACCCAGTAACATGAGATTTGGCCAGTATAGGAGACTTAGTCCTAGAAGGTTAGTCCTAAGTCTATATACTAAGCTAAAAGTGCAGAATAATCATTATATTAAAATTAATGCAATGTAGAACAGTCATTATAATAAGATAATAAAGATAAAAATAAAATTACAAATTGTAAAATAAAAGGATATATATTAAATATTCTAACCAATCTCATGTATGCACATATAAACTACTATATTGTAGTAAACATTTCACTTGTTTAGGCCAATGTCCAAAAAAGAACTACTACATCATGGTAAAATTTATATTTGGCTTAGTGTAGGAACTTCAGCTTTAAGAGCAATAAAGTTATTGAAAATATATATGAGATTAGTTATGCTTTGCTTGAAGTATTATGTCCAGTTTTAGTTTTTGTGTTAAAGGGGAGATATCATTTTGAAGAGTGCTGGGATAACAACCAGAATAGTGCAGGTGTATTTTCATTGTCACTTGAGTTATAAGAATTAGTAATTGAAGTTTTTAATTTTCTTTGGGATGTAGTAGAATGTAGAGGTGACTTTCTTCAGTTGTTCATAATTATTAGAGGCTTTAGTAGTCTTTCTATGAATGATGGAATAAAAAGATTAGAAATGCAAACTTAAGTATTGGCATAATAGGTTTTTAAGCTTTGGAAGCCTAGTTGCATACTTGTTCTTCAACTGAGTTATTTCTCTATTAAATTTATGATATTGTGGAAAGAATTGCATATTGATATGGTGTATGTGTCTTGTTATTTAAATTAGATGCCCATTGAAACAATTCCATAGGTAATTTTCCTAAGAATAGTGAAGAAATGTGCAGTCAACCCAATCCCTTGGATCAGAGTGTATATGCAGTATGATTGTCACACATTCCATGTGTTATTTCAATAAGATAGATCGTATTTCATTTGTTTTTAAGCTAAGTAGACTGGATGCAATGGGTGTGTCCGGAAGAATAGAGTGCTTAGGTTCGCTTTGTAGTCATGGGGGATTTTTTCTGCTAGATGTGACCATTCCTTGTCATTTTAATGAGTGCAAGAAATGAGTGCCACCAAAGTAAACATTTTTTGACAGTAGACTTTTCTATAAGGAAGTATGAAAGGGGAGATATTGTACAATAAAATCATGCATGTACATAATACCACCATGAAAAAATAAACCAAACAACAACAAACACATTCCTATTTTTATACATTTTTTTAATTCATGTTCCTATCTTTGAAATTTTTGTTTTATGTTTTTTTCTCAGATTGAACATTCAGTACATATTAAGACTGTTGAATTGATGTTGTTATCAAGATGAAAATTTGGAATTGCAAAAAATAAATAATTTTCCTGTAATGTACTCTTGAAAATAAGCATTTTGATATATAATGTTTTTTTCTACAAATAACCATTCAGGAAATACAGAGCGTGACAGACAAAGAGACATTTGGCTATTATATATATAGATTTTTGTTGTGAAAAACTGCATGTAAATTGGTTTTAGTATTTTTATTGCTTGGTGAAAGGTGACTTCCTTGGGCTGAATGATCTTCACTTTTTCTTATGTTTTAAAACTCTTGTCATAGTTTCTTAAATCATTTAGTATTCTGTGTCTAGTAGCCTGCCTTGACATTCTTTCAGACACGTATATTTGGAAATTTGACAAGGTTTCAATTCCTGCATGAGAGGAACATTGATATCATTATGAAATAAAGGGCTTTGATGCAAATACTGAAATAGTTTGAAGCTTTCAGCTGAACGTTAAGCTGTAGTGAAAAGAGGGAATAATGTTTTGGATGTAATTATAAAAATTTTTGAATTGTAATAAAAATTATGACTGTAATATCCCATAAAGCATGAAGAGTGCATTGATACACATTGTACCCATCAATTAATGTATACCAATCAATAAATTATTTGACACAATATTTAGTTTCATTTCTAAAATCTTGTACAATTGTGTGTATGTGGCTCTTGGCAACTCAAATATATCAAAATAGTTCTGTGTTGTGTGCACAGGTGGTGACACAGCTGTTTAATGCAGCCTGAAGTCATACTAGTACAGTATTGTTGTTACCTGTGCATGACATCACTAGTTATTAAGTTTAATTTATATATTGCTCCTTATAATATGTTATCATCTCTATTTAACTTTTTTTAGAATTTATGAGAGTACATTTTGAATATGTTCTGTCTGTAAAACTGAAAAAATAAGTAGGTCAAGTTTTTAAGATAACCTGTGTTGGTAGTTCACACTGGACATTGTTTGGTCTGCTCGAGTATATATGGTACATGTAATTAGTGGAAAATTGTATAAATGAGCAATAAATAATAAATAAATAAGCAATAAATGAGCCACGGTAATACTAATACTGATAATAATTGACATTTAACGTAATGTGAAAGATTTGTATGATTTTTAGCATAGGTGGATGTGACTCTTCTTTGGGTAAGCTATTTTGTTACATGTACTTTGTAATATAGGGTTGTCAAAGTTATTTTTCCTATTTTTAAACTTAATAATTAAATAACTGAGGAAATACAACTATGCAGTTTTCAACATCTTGTAGCCCAACTCAAACAGTATTTATTGTCATGTTTTTTTCACTCCAGTGAGTAGTGTTACCCTGTAA